TTCACATTAAATACAAAGTCAGTCGTATTAAAAATAGTTGATGGTATGACACCCATATCTGGTATACTTAAGTAAAAAGACACATTTTTATGCAAAGTTAATAGATTACACTATTAGGCTACTTTGCCCATCGCGAATTATAGATCAACAAACATAATCTATAAAGGTGAAAAATGCATTTACTTACACATATTTTAGAATCGAGATATTTCATGATATATGTTGGGAATATTTCGAATAAAAAAAAAAAAATCATTAATCCCTGCTGAAAAAAACAATAGACGCCATTACAAAATTTGTAGTGGTTTTACTGGTTATAATGGGACTTGAATTGGTTTTAATGGAAACTGTAATGAACCCTGTGGGTCTCTACTGGTAATTGGTCACGAGAACCTCAGACTAGGCAGAAGGTTTAACTTCCAACAGGACAATGAACCTAAGCACACAGCAAGAGTGGCTTTGGTTAAAAGTTGATGGTTTGTCATGTTTGTGATGGTATTTGTAGTGGAAACCATTAACATTTTCTGTGATGGTTTTATTGGGGGTTTTTCCAGTAGGGATATAAGCCTATATCAGTTATACAGTGGTATTGTGGCTGCTGTGTCACATGACAAGCATGAGAGCCCCCCATTCACTCCAGCCCCCTCAAAAATAATGAGTGCATGATGCCCCTGACACTACAATACAAAATTATTTGTCAAATAAATGAAACATGATGAAACATTCATTTTAGTTGAAATTGTTATAGATTAGTTCTAGGGATCGCAGTAATACATGACATGGTGAAAAATGACTGAATGAATAATACTGAAAGTAGGTTAAGATGAAATTTAAAATTGTGCCCCTAAAAGCACAAGTGGCCCCTGTCTGGCCCCCAGTTACTGGTCTAGAACCGGCCCTAAGACTTCCATCTTGTGCTTGCGGAGAGCCCTTGGTGATACTGAGAGTTGGACTGAACATGGACAGGTCTACTGATATCCACAACATCTGCTTTAAATAAACGGTTTAGGATTGCAGACTAAACAGCATGAATATTTTACATTGGATGTTAGATTGGTTGCACATTCACCCATGACTGAAGATCCAAGCAAATACTGATACATAAACCGAAGTTTGACACCAATGCACTCACACCATTCATGTGAAATATTTTCATATTAAATATTTAGATACTTTAAATAAAGGGATATTCTCTGTTAGGTACAATTTACAATCTGACAACATCTGAGACATACTGTCATATTACCACATACAATCATTCAATTGCCGATGTTTGACTTTAGATGATTGCATTATTACTTGAGAGTGGCTTTGAAGGACTGTTTTTAGTCCAAACTATTATCTGTGGTAATCAGCAGCATGTCAGAGATGCTATCAATAGTATTTAACCGAAATGTAGCTCGTATTTAGTATTTAGCTTTAGGAGTAAAAGTACATCCTGGATTTTGCATGCTGGGCACAATTAGATTCCTTTAGGAAGTTTTAACTGTACGTAATATGGCCGTCTTGTTCCTCTGTGTTTTAAATCTTGGCCTAATGGATCATCAGGTGCTTATGAAGTTTGTTTGCACTTTTGAGAGCTTTTAAAGGCTTGCATGCATGAAAATTGTACAAGTGTCAATTGACTTTTAAATATCAGGTTTCAAAATATCTACTGGCTTTTATAAAAAAAAGTTGAAAGTAAAGTATCATGTACACTACCGGTCTAGTGTCTTTGCTCACCTAGGCCGCAGTTATTTGATTGAAAATACAGTCAAAACAGTACATATTGTTACATATTTAAAATAACTGTCTAATTAAAATTATATTTAAAACTTTATTCCTGTGATCAAAGCTGTATTTTCAGCATCATTACTCCAGTCTTCAGTGTCACATGATCCTTCAGAAATCATTCTAAAATGCTGATTTGCTGCTCAAGAAACATTTCTGATTATTATCAGTGCTGAAAAATTTTTTTGCTGCTTAATTTTTTTGTTGAAACTTTGGGATAAGTAAGTGTTCTTTTGAAATTTCTATCCAACAAAGAACTTAAAAAAAAAAAATAGTATCAGAAAAATATTAGGCAGCAAAAACTGTTTACATTATTAATCACTGATCGCCAATAGTAATTGACAATAATTGAGCACCAAATCAGCATATTAGAATGATTTCTGAAGGATCATGTGAAACTGAAGACTGGAGTAATGATGCTGAAAATTCAGCTTTACATCACAGGAATAAATTGCATTTTATAAAATATTTATTTTAAATTGTAAACATATTTCACAATATTACATAAGAAACTTCTTTCAAAAACATAAAAAAATATGAATTATTCCAAACTTTTGACCGGTAATGTATTGTGTGCAATCTGTCAATGCAGTGGCATAACAGGGATGTATCTGTCCTCACTTTGTGACACTAATACTCTGCCCTCCAGGGATAGGAGACGATTAAAGGGGTCATACTATGAACAAAGGGTCAAACGAGTGAAAGGGTTGAACGCATAACCCCTAAGCATTGTTTCACAGATGAAGAGGTCAGTCAATTATAACTTAAGGCCTTTACAAGTCTTAAGTGGTGTTCACATTGCCAGCGGTTAAATTCATAAAGGTCGGGCCAAATCTCTGTGCTGTTAGGCTAGCAGGTGTTTCTCCATCAGTGTATCCAACTGTATCAGGTGGCAGATAGATCACTGTCTACACTCCCGTCAGTAGCTGCCACACTGCATCGCTGCTCATTATGCAACCTGATTTGCATAAAGCTGAGCCATGGTCAACTTTGTTGCATCGCAAATGGTTGATGTCGATCACGCCACCTCAAATCGTTAACTCTCTCCCTAAAAGGGTGGTTTTAAAAAATGGTTTTAAGTCAGTTACCTATTCCTATCTTTTGCTGTAGTGTGTCAGTAGGAAATATCAGTTTAATTGTAATAATCCAGTGAGATTTGTGTCTGACAACATCTGACAATCTCACTGGATTATTACAATTAATGGCATAATGAATGTTTGTAAATGTAAACTGATATTTCCTACTGACACACTACAGCAAAAGACATTATAAATAACTGACTTAAAACCATGTTTTAGCTGATTTAGTTCTAATCATTTTGGCCACCACTGTAACTGCAACAGCAGGCTTGTGTTGTGCTTTCACATTCTCACTATTTTGTTACGTGGTGTGAAATATGCAATGAAAATTAATTTCAATGCATGACTTCTTTAAATGCTGCCATTTGCCTAGAGAGTGCAAAAGATGTGCTTAAGCAGAATATTGTGGGTGATCAGTACTCACTGCTGGAGGAGGAAGACATGCGGCGCTGGGCAGGGGCCGGTGCGGTGGTGCTGGGTGGAGGAGGAGGAGGGGGCAGCTCTGATGGAAGAGGTGGAGGAGGAGGTGGAGTCGGGATGAAGGTGCTGGCGGGTGGGGGAGGAGGTGGAGGAGGAAGGGGTAGATCCTCTGTGTTTCCCGTCCCGTTCTCAGGAGCAGGCGCTGTGTCTGCTGCTTCCTCCAACAGTGCAGAACCCTGTCGAGAGAACAGGTAAGAGTGCAGCAGATTTCGATGTTTAAATATTTACTACTGGTTTTCTAACAGATGACCCGACAATGAAAATGCTCACATCATGCAATCCTCGATGCTTATGACTTTCTTTCTTCTGATAAATACCATTTGTACAAAAAGAACCTCTCTGTGAGTCCACATATTGCAAGTGAAAAACACATACAGCCATGACAGTAGGGGTTGAACGACTTCTGATTTTTTGAAGTCGACTTTTATGTGATGAAAGTCGAGTCGAAGTCGACTAGTCGCTGATGATGTCATTAATGAACAAATAAGTTTGGAGCTGTGACAAACACCTTGTGCACAGCTATGGCATATGACACAGCGCTGCCCACATGGCTATTGCTCCTATATACACTCTAAAAAACACTGGGTTGTATTTAACCCAGCATTTTTTAGAGTGTAGATGAATCAATGTTTTTTTAGAGTGAAACAAGAAGTGTGTGTAAGAAAAACACAAATATTATAAACTTCGAATATACTTTTCCACTATAAATCATCAATTCAGACGAACTGTCGTAGTCACATTTATGTCAAGCTTCATAACATGCTTACACTCTTAAAAATGCTGGGTTGTTTCAACCCAACTTTGGGT